CTCTCCTTACAAAGCAACATAACCTATTTAAATAAGCATGTTCTCATCTCCTTACACATCAACTTAACATAGTAAACTAAACACGCCCCCATCTCTATAAACAGTTACTTATCAACTTATCCTAGTAATATATCATATGTTTTCATTTGCTGACCCAGTTTTTGATGAAATCAAGTTTGTTTGCAACATTAAATATCTTGTTAAAGACAAATTGTCAAAATAGTTGCCACCTTCAATGCTGTTGTCCCCTATCTCAATTTCATGTTTGATTTGTTGTATATCAACAGCATGAAATTAAATAACACAGACAGCCAATTGAATAGACAGACAAACAACTTATACCTTAACTACCAGCTGGCTAATGGAATATTATGGTACTATCAACTTTACTAGAGTAAACTTATTTGTATATGGTTGTATACCTTCAGTTCATACTCTAGAACTTTTGTGCCCATTTCATCTGTTTGTAGACGAAACTCATGTTCTCTCCTCTTCAAGGCATCGTCAAATTCTGAAAGCAAATGATCAAAGATTGAAAAATATGTCAATTTTACAGTTCAGTTTATCTGTGGTCTCAGATTGAGCAAGATTTACAGTTACATTATAATAAACGAATATAATCTTCATTCACCATTTACAATTTATTAAGAAATGTACTTGTATTCCACAGTGTTAATATTTCACAACAGAATGATGCTGTACCTGCACTCAATTCTCTGCGTTGTGTATCCAGTTCTTCCTCAACTTCTGTCAATTTCCTTTGAAGAGTTCTCTTGAAGTTTTCAAATTCTTTCCTTTCCTGTTGCAGCTCAGAATCTTTGGAACTGAAAAAGTTACATGCATACTTTGTATGGAGCCTTACTGAAAGCCAAAAACCCAAAAAGGCTAATAACTGCAATGCTTTTATATTATGATCAATATAAAAGTCTTTATTACATTTAAACATTGTAAAAAAAAATGTCCAGTGTGAAAAATAACACTTTTTCTCAGTAAGTTCATCAAATGGATGTCATAGGATGCATGACTAGCAACATGTTTGTCTTTTCCAAATGTTATAACTAGAATATTCCTTATTTCATGATGAAAACCAGTTACATTTCAATAAGTGGGATGAAGATATCAATTTCATATTTTTCACCTGTGTTATCCACTTGTATTTATCTCTGACATTTGCTTTGTAAAAATCAGCAGGGCAAACTATCAGACTTTACAGTATCCTGTACATACCATCTGTAGGAATCAATTTCTGCCTGTTTCTCTTTCAACCTCTGTTGATAATGAAGCTGGAGTTCTTCCCGTGCTTGGTTCTCTCTGTCACTCCATGTTTTCATGTCGTCTAACTTGATCTTCATCTCACTCATCTCTCCATTCTTTACATTCAGACTGGACTTTAGCTCTGAGCATGGATATAAGATTTAGGACATTCAATAATGATACCCACACATACATCGGAAAGTATTACAGTCCATTAGGAAAAAATGTCTGTATTTCTGCCTCCGTTATTTACAGAACTGACTTGTTAGTGCATACAGTTTAACTAATTTGTTAATTTTAAACAATTGCAAGCAACTATTCTAAAAGTCTGAAACACTGTTTCTATATATAAATATATAAAAGAAAGAAACATTTGATTACCTATACTAAATTTTGAATTAACACAAGAGAAACATATTGTACAGGGAAGTAAGAAATTAAAAAGAATAATATGTAAGAAACAAATGAATCAAAAACATTGTGTTCAAGAGTTATCTAACATCATGGTATAGTAATAATTGTTTTATATAGATATCTTTGTTAGGATATATTTATAATAGTTAACACAGGGATAAGACAGTAAATCGAGGATAATCAATCTAACGTACCACTGAAAGTTAAATCATATGTTTCTAGTTCCTTGTCTCTCTCCTCAAGCACTTTCAGGTTGTATTTGAAATCTTCCTTAAGTTTTGTGAATTTTGCCTTTTCTTCTTGAAGTTGTCTGTCCTTATCTTTGTAAGCTGCTTCTAGGGTTTGCATTCTGATTTAAAAAATCATACGCATATTATATTTTTTCTCTCAGTCAAAATATATGTACCTGTGCATTTGAAATACAAAGTATCAACAAACTCAACTATTCACAAAGCAACCATTTTCATCAGTCAAATTGTGAGGCAGGGTAGTCTTGAGGTAGGATGCCGGGCTCGTGTCACGGCACCGCACTGTAAAACTGTGCTTGTTTCAGTCTACT